GGCCTGGTGGGCCAGGATGTGCTCCAGTCTCTCCTCCTCCCCCGTCATCTGCTCCTGTGTGCTCTGGTCAGATATATCCTTCTCCTGAAGCTGCAAATTCAGTGCCATCCTTTGAAATAAATTTTTCTCGGGGGAGGGGCAGGCATCCACTTAATATTTGGTGCTGGGACTAGCCCCCCAGACCTCTCCACTGGTTCTCTACTATACCTCCACAGGAAAAGAGGGACCAGACTTCAACCCAGTGCTCCAAGGTGTGAAGACAACATACAACTATCACTAATGTAACTGAACTACTGAATTGCATGATACGTGAAATACATGCCAATAAAACCATTTAATTACAAATATTTTTTAAAGTCCCTATTCTTGATTTAAGATTAATTTGAAAAAGTCACAAATGTCCTTTCCTTTCACTACAACACAGACATCAAATCCAGATACTTCCGTGAAAGGCATCTGTTAAAGAACTAGAACGCAGGAGACAAGATGTGGGTCAGGCTGACTCATCTCCCACAGACTGAGGCAGCCAGACAGTCCTCCTTCCCCGGGATGCTCGTCTCCCTCCAACTCTCAAAGCCCTACTCCAACCACTCTGCGAGCCCCGATTCGTCCCAAGTCTAAATTCTCTAGCACGACTACTGCTATACTGCTCATTTGGGTACCTAACCAGCCACCTGGAACAGCGGCCATGAACATGGCTACAATCTTGAGAAGGCACAGCAGCAGGGAGGTGTTGGGCAAGTGTTTCGTTCTAATGGCACCTAATAACAACAGCAATCACACACTACTTGACATTTTATTTAACCTTTTCATGTCCCTCCATCTCACAATTATTTACAAAGCATCTGCTACCACATGCAGAGAGCACTAGGCCAGACATTCCGGCTATAAAGATAAGTAAGACCAAGTGCCTGGCCTTGAGTATATCTCAGTTTGGTGGGAGAGTCAGTCACAACACAGTATAATGAAAACTGTATCACTGTGTACAAGGCACCTTATCACTGTGCTCAGGCACAAAAAGACCTTGCATCAGAGTCACTTAGCAAACCACCCAAACCAGATATTTCATATTTAAAGCACAAGCAGGGTTATCAGGCGTTCAAAGCTGGTGAGGGAGAAGCAACTCCTTAGTCTTGTGTCTATTGTTGCAACCAACCGACCTACCACATTAAAGTGACATGCATAAAAGTTGAAAATGATCATGAGGGTTATTTCCCAGTAAGAATTGTGTGGCAGTTCAGTTCTCATGCGCAAATCCAATCCTAAAAACAGAGACATCCATACATTTCCTTTTTGACTGTGTATTAGTTCTTATTGGAACAGGGAGTAGACTTCTGCTTTAACATCCGTCTTGTGAGATGGAATTACTAATTTTTACTTTAAAACTAGTCATCCATGCAAACATTTCCTTTCTCATTAGACTGTTAGCCCGCTGGGGACAGGGTCTCTGTACCTTTCCCTGCTCAGCACAGTTGCTGCTCCTTTTAAGTTGCTGTCAAGTTGAGTCTGACTCAGGGTGACCCCAATCATGTAGACCCCGCACGCCTCCCTTTCATGGCGCTTCTTACTGGGTTTGAACTGCCAACCTTTCTGCTAGCTAGTAGTCGTGGGCCACGAAACACAGTAGTAAATGAAGTAAAATATTCTTTAAATGACCATTGAATTTTATACTCTCCCAAAGATTAGTTTAACCGAATTAGCTACCCCTCCTTGGTGGAGGTTTGGGAGGAGAATCTAAGCTCACTGAACAGCCACATAGCACCGTCTACTCCAGCTAAGTGCACACTCTCACCTTCAGGGGAGGCTGGCCACTCTGCTTCACAGAATGATTGAGGTCTTCGTGAACGCGGTCCAAAAGCCACAGCAGAAACTCCTGGGCGTCATGCTGGGAACTGCCCCGGTATTGCAGGGCATTCTTTGACACAATACTCTGTACAGGGACATAAATCAGATGAACAGTTGTGAGTGTCTAGCTTTAAAGGTAAACTATTTATTCAGAATCACAAATGAGAGATGTGATATCTCAAAATGCTAGCAAGTAATACAAAAGCAAAAGCTCAATCTAAATATGCCTCCCCTTCAAAAGCTATACACAGAATTCCCCCATGACCCAGCAAGTTCACTCCCAGGCACACAGCCAAGAGACTTGCATACAGGCACTCCACCAGATGCATGTGCACCAATGTTCACTGCAATTGTATTCACAATAGCCAAAAGAGGGTAGAAACAATTCAAGTGTCCATAAACACACAAATAGATAAAACATGCTATATTCATACAAAGGAATATTATTCAGTCATAAAGAGAACTGAGTTCTATTAAGATGCCACCACATAAATGAATCAATGAGACCTCAAACCAACCTGAATGAACTTGTAATGGGTGACAATTGAACGAGATGAGCAACAAAATGAGTAATGCATTATTTGCATATAACCCAAAGTATAAAATAAATGAGTTTATGCTAAGACAAATAAATGACTAGATGGATGGATGGATTGGATGATGGATGGATGAATGAATGGATGGATAGATGGATAAGATGGATGACGGATTGATGGATGAATCAATGGATGAACAGGTGGATGGACAATTATATAGATAGAGAGAGAGAGAGAGAGAGAGAGAGAGAGAGGCAGGCAGGCAGGCAGGCAGGCAGATAGATAGAGCAACCCAGCATGCAGCAAACAATAAAGCAAGTAAATGAGAGAGAAGAAAATCCCTTTTACACAAAAATTCTAAATAATTTCTTGATTTTCCCCACTTGCCCCATATACACACCCTCACTGTAAGTTTAGTGACTTGCTTCCAAAAAGTAAAATAGGGAAAGAGGGGTGCAGGTGGAAATTTTATAGTGGAAAAACCTGGTTAGCATTGCCTGGGCCAAAAGATTATGGTTAAACATTATCAGTGATAAGCTATGTTGATAGCCTGTAGCTTTGACAGAATATCATGAGAATGGTCTCCCTCCCAAAGAAACCCATGACCTCAGTCTAGACATGAGGAAAACATCAGGCAACCCCCAATTAAGGGTATTCTATACCACATCTGACCAGCAATTTTCAAAACCATGAAGGTCATTAAGGACAGGAAATGTATGAGGAAACATCACAGACTTTGAGAATAAAGTGACAGACAGTTCAGCTAAATGCAATGTAGTATTATTGATGGAATCCTAGAGCAGAAAAAAGACATACGGGAAAAACTAGTGAAAACTAAAGTATTCGTTCTAATTAATAGTAATAAACAACAAATAAGAATGCTAGTGGTTCAGTGGTTAAAGCACTCCCCTGCCAGCTGCTAACTGGACCAGTGTCGGTTTAAACCCTTAAATGAGGAGCACTGGTGGTGCAGTGGGTTACACACTGAGCTGGTAAGCCACAAGGTCAGCAGTTTGAAACCACCAGCCGCTCTGGAGGAGAAAGATGAGGGTTTCTACTCCCATAAAGCTAAGGTCTCAGAAACCCACAGGAACGGTTAGACTCTGTCCTATACGGTCACTATGAGTGAGAATCAACTGGATGGCAGTGAGTTTGCTAACGCTTCTTAATTATAGTAAGTGTATTGCACAGTCATATCAGATGTTAACAGAAAAAAAATGAGTTTGGGTGAAGTCCTTAGTTATCTGGTGCTACAAGCCGGACTTTAACAAACAAATTTATTTTCTTATAGCTTAAGGGCTGGAGTACACATTCAGGGTGCCTGCTCTAGGGGACAAGCCTTCCTTTCTGAGGGCTGTGAAGGTCAGTCCTTGGCTCTTTGAGCTTCAGTTGCTGATCTTCCTGTGGCTCAGCACCTCCCTTTTCCCTTCTCTGCTGCCTCACTTGTTTTCATTTTGCTTTTGATTGTGGTTTGAATGAAAGTTTACAGAGCACATTGGTTTTCTATGCAATTCACACATACTTTGTTTCCTGACATTGACTGCAATTCCCCAATATAACAGGACTCTGCTTGTCTAGCCTGTCAATCAAGTCACAGCTTGGAGGCATCACGGAGGTAAATTGCTGACTGTAAGCCAGATACACACTCTCTGCATTGTAGTCTTCCTGCTGACAAGAGCTAAGCTAGAGAACCCCAGAGCTGGAGGAACCACGTGGAGACCCTTGCCAGCGCTGAGATGCTTCCACTGTCACTGGATCCATAAGACTTTCCACCCACTGGCCTGTGATCTTCCTGCATTCGGCGTCATTGCATGGCTGCGTGAGTCTGAAGAGTAATTTGTAGACTGGTATCAGACATATGGGCTAATATCAGACTTACAGACTTGATCTAGCCTGGGCCGGGATGTTTTCTTAATGTACCACTGCTCTTTGGTAGAAAGTTCTCTTACACACGAGTACCCCTGGATTTGTTTATCTAGTCAACCCAGACCAACACAGATAGTATATGAAAAAGAATCAGCCAATGTATGTTCTTGGAAGATGCATGACCAGTATGTTCCTTAGGGGCAAGAATGATGAGACTTGCAGAGCAGAGGGACAGTGTGAATATTATAAGGCGAGGGGAGGAGGTAACGGAAAGGAGAAAGAGAACAAATGTTCTTCAGTAACAGGAAAATGGATTTAGAAAAGCAGCAGTAGAATCCTCTTAAACGGAGCAGTGGACACAAGGGAAAGGAGATAAGGTTAAGTGCAGGTTAAGGTGTAGCTAGGAAGGCAGGGACTGTTCTCTGAACTCTTGTTTGTTTTACAGAGGAAGTAACAGAGAACTGCCAAGGGGCAGTTTCAGGTGTAGCAGGAGTTAGGCCACATAGTTGGGTCATACAAACTGCCAGAATAACAAGCTGTCCTACATTTCCAATGGTGGTAGGACAAGTTTTCGGCATATGCTTCTCAAACTCTTCATGTGGTGTCAAAGCCAGTAGTTTATGATCATCTGTTGAAATCTCATGGTGGAGACAATATTCAACTCTTTACCCAGATTACATTAAGATTTGATGTATGCTTCCTGCCATATACCTTCAACTCAGATAGCATTTATCCGCCAATCGCTAGGCAAGACACTGTGCAAAGGCTGCTCAACAAGATTTTTGCTGGGCATGACTAACAGGTAACAGGTCTTCCACAACCAGTTGTAACTAGGGCAAAAACTGCTCTGAATCAACTCCCCGTAAAGCACTACATCACCAACTAAAGGAAATTGTAAAGTGAAACCTCAATGAACATTCACAAACACAAAACCACCTTTCTGCATCTTTTCAGTCCTCACAATGGCGACTTCTTACTGCAAGATGCCTCTTCCCCAGACAAAACAAAACACAGACTAATGACCAAGCCTATCATCTGTGGCACAGAATGAAGAAAAACGATGCCAGTCATTGTGAATAGCCTTGGTATCATACAGAGAGCTTTGTAAAGTCGATTAACTTAACTAACTCTAGTTAAGTTAAAATGTAGTATCTCACCATGTGATCTCCCTTTTGACTCATTGAAAAGTTGTTCCAGTTTTTTAAAAAGTGAAGGGCAATACACATGGCCTAGGCCTCTGGTGAACTCCCTGTCCAGAGACCAGGGATGCGAACCTCCTTGCTGTCCTGCAGATGCATTGTAAAGTGGATCACTGCAGATAGAGTTAGGCTATCTCATCTCCCTCTTGACCCATTTTAAACGTCTTAATAGTTTTCAATATTTTCTGCTTTCTTTTCAAATGAGGTTTTTCCCGTTTCACTTTGTTATTGTTTTTGTTTTTCTTTGTATGTTTTTCTGTTTATGAAATCCGGTATGAGTCAATCTATATAAACAGTAACTGGATTGATGGTTTCTTGGGGGTATGGGAGAGGAGGTTGGGGGAAATAGGGAGCTATAACCTTGAGTACAAGAAAGAAAAAAATGTTCTAAAATTCACTGTGGTAATGATTATACAATTCTTCTCAATATGATTGAATTATTAAATTGTATATGTAAATTGTGTGCCAATAAGACTGTTAAAATTAATAAATAAACCTTCATGCAGTCCCAGCACTGCTATAAACCAGTGGTTATCTTAGGCACATTACTTAATTTGGGGATTCCTGATTTTCAAAATGAAACTGGGGAAAGGTTATCAATAGGTCTCTAGCTCCCAAAATTCTACCTCAAATTTATCCCCTAGAGTCCCAGCTAGTGATCTGGTTTTTATTTCCACCCATATTTGGCAATGCTTTGGTGTGCCATATACACACACACACACACACACACACACACACATATATATATCCAAACCTTAGTTTATTTGATGTCCTAACATTAATCCTTCTGCATTTTTGTATTTTTTAAAAGTTGATTATCACTGGAATATATCATCTAAAAATAGAAATATTGCTATCATCTAGAAATTGTTTGTCACTTCTATTTAAAATTTCCTACTCACAGTCTTGCTATTCCTGTCCTATAAGGTGGCTAAGAATTGGCATCAATTCAACACCAGCGAGTATATTTAAGGTGATGCATGTAAATCGCGGTGTTGGCAAAGAACACTGAGAGGATCATGGTGCAGGAGAACACATACATCTGTCTGAAAGGAAGTAGAGCCAGAATGTTCCTTAGAATCCAGGGTGGTGAGGCTTCACCTCACAGACTTAGAACATGTTATCCGGTTCAGAAGAGCATCGTGCTTGGTAAAGTGGAGAGGAAGTGAAAACAGGAAGACCCTCGACTAGGTACATTGACACAGTGGTTCAGCAACTTTCAAGTCCTCAGTTACGACTCACCACTATGACGGAGGGCATGTCTTGTGAACCATATTACGCCAACTGGTCTTGCTGTCTCCCACGACTATGGTCCTAATTCCCCAAGTCCAGTGACTCATTCGAAGGTGTCTTCATAACTTCATGTCTAAGACGTTTTTTAAATGCTACCCCCTCTATGCTCCACTCCAGCACATTCATAATAAATACAAAAGCACATACAAATATCCCCTGTCAAATCTATCTGTATCTGTGCATACAGTCCG